AAAGTACGTTCTAGCTTCCTGTATCCCTTTCTTCTTTTTTTTTTTCCGGGGGTGGTGGTGGTGGAGAATCCAGTAGGCTCCAGGCCCAGGAGGCTTGGTCTCACACCCCTGAGATCCTGACCTGAGCCGAAATCGAGAATCAGAAGCTTAATCGACTGAACCCCCCCAGGGGCCCCTGTATCTCTTTATTTCTTATTTCTTCTTTTTCCTCATCTCCAAGTTGACCTAAATAATTTTTGCATCATTTCTTAGGTTCACTGAATCTCCAAGAAAAGGGGTCTCACCGGAAAGACAGCTCAAGAATGAAGGGAGTTTACCCTTAATTCCACTCCTTTCCGCAGGGGACTGGCTGGACCAGATTTGGGATGGCTAATCGCAAACCAGCCTCCTACAGACTTCGGGACCGCTCTTCTGCCTCATCGCGGGGCGCCCCCACCCTCGCGAGGGCGTCTATTTGCATACACCAGGTCCGAAGGAAGCAAACGCCCAATGGCCGATTTGCATGCAATCGTGCTATTGGTTGGAAGGGCCGCAAGGTAGCCAATGGTTTGCGGCGGAGTTTACCCCGCGGCCGCTCTGCACCGCCCGGTGATGTAATGGAAGCCTGGCTGGAGCGCCGCGGGCTCCCTCCCGTCCGCTTCGTGACGTAGCGGCTTCCCCGGGCCCCACCCGGCCCAGCCCGGCCAGGCGCGCAGCAGCGCGGCCGCCCCCGGGAGAATGGCGTGGGGCACGGCCCGGGCCGCAGTGTTGCAGCGGGGCCCAGCCCTGTTCCTTCCGGCCTGGCGTTCCGGTCCCGGCCCCAGTGGGAGGGCCCGCCGGGCCAGGTCTGATCTCTGGCGACGTGGAGAGAAATCTGGAAGCAGACACCAGAGCATTACCAAACTCTCCTCCTTCGGGAGTTGATTACCAGCCTCTCGCTTCGTAAATCACGTAGATCTGTAACATTCTGCATTTGTTTACAACGAGCCTTTTGATTTTGTAATCTAAAAAATAAAGTTATGGAGGATTTCTGCTTGTTTTTAATGAAGAGCCTGGCTTGGATTTAGAGGAAATCTTGGTATTAATTCCAGCTCTGTCACTTCCAGCCTGGTGACCTTGGTCACTTTTTCTTGCCGGCCCTGACAGCCTCTCATGGCAACCAGGGAAAAGCAAATGTTGAGGCACTTTCAGAAAAGCACCCAGCCAGGCCTCCTCACCCTTATGTAATTCAGAGCACGTAACCCCGTAACCCCACCCGGATGGTGTCCCTGGGAGGCCCCTGATCCCTGGGAGAGCCCCAGGAAAGCCCTGCCCTATCTTTGTGTCCCCATTTCCCCCCTTTAATTGCTCCTAAAACCGGGAGGGGAACCTCAGCGAAGTCTTTCTTGATTCTCAGGACGAGGAAGGGAACCATGAAGGGAATCCCCTGTACAGCCCCTCTCCTCTCTCAGGGCCAGGGCAGGGGAGCCTCTTCTGGGCCTGAATGGGCTGGGGAACCCCCTTGACATACTTTTACCCCCAGCCCCAGTGGGCCAGGATGCAGGTGAGGAGCAAGGGTGTCTCCCTGACTGGGCGCAGTTGGATCAAGGGTTTTTGCTACTATGAGAGGGAGGGGCATGTGGGGAAGACCACCAGGGGTCTGGCTGATTATCTGGGTCCTGGGGCTTTCCACCCCCACGCTCTCAACCCTGCCCCCACCCCATCCATACCTAAGAACTTCCACGTGAGCCTTTTTCCTCCATGCAATGCCCTCCCTTCTGTCTTGCCTGGTCCTCTGCTTTCACACAGTGAATGCCCCATGTTCTCTTCAAGGGAGGCCTCTCAGATTAACCCTCCAGATTCCTATCCCAGTGCCAGCTGGAGGACTCTTGGAGACCATCTTTTGGGCCTTCTGGCAATGTTTTCATAACTATTCTGTGTCCTGCCCCCCCCCCCCCCCCATCAGACTAGGAAGCAAATTTTTGCAGCAAGATCTTGCCCTACTCCCTTAGGAATTTCCCAGAATGTGTGACAGCATAGGTCAGGGGGCCTGTTTTCCCCTCTAGTCCTAGCTCCTGAGCCATGCAGGTGGTTGGACTTCTCTCTTGTCAGTTTTCCCATCTGCAAAAGGGTTTGTGTGGTAGTTCCTGGAATTTGTGTAGCAAGAAGAGGGGCTAGGTATGAAGGAACAAGATGGCGGGTAGAAGCTAGAGCACTGGTCTGGGAGTCAGAAAACCGTGGCTGTGGTCCTGGCTTGGACACTGACCCCCTGAGTGACCTGGGTCAAGGAGGCAACAAGGGGGCTGAGATCTGCTGGACATCTGTAATGACACCAAAAGGTGACATTGCCTCCATCACCTCAAGTCCTCAAATAAAACATACCAGCTGGGCAAAGCTAGGTGAGTGTTCTGCATCTGCAGATTCGAGACAAGTTCCCCAGAACAGCCTTCCCCCAAGGCCTCCTATATGGAAATAGCAGGTCAGCTATGCTGGGCCAGACTCCTTGCTACATCTTTATATCTACTACCAAAGATACACTCTTCATGACAACTCTGTGACATTGGTATGTTTTCATCTTCTTGTTTCTTTTTTTTTTTTTTTTAAAGATTTTATTTATTTATTTGAGACAGAGAGAATGAAAGACAGAGAGCACGAGAGGGAGGAGGGTCAGAGGGAGAAGCAGACTCCCCGCCGAGCAGGGAGCCCGATGCGGGACTCGATCCCGGGACTCCAGGACCATGACCTGAGCCGAAGGCAGTCGCTTAACCAACTGAGCCACCCAGGCGCCCCATCTTCTTGTTTCAAATGAAGAAACTGAGGCCCAGACAAGGTGAGTAACTTCTTGGAAGTCACACAGTTGGTAATAGTTGGGACCAGCCTCTTTAACCTATGCTCCTTCTACCACCTCACCCTGCTATCAGAGGCCACACACGTGTGTGTGTTTCGGCATTACATATTTCAGTATATATTTTACTTGATTATAAAACAGGAGAATATATAATAAAGCCAAGTTGTGCTAAAGTATTTATAGAAGGGAGAGACCTCTGTGGGCTGGAAGCCTTCATGGAAAAACTGGTAATCAAGCCTTTTCTTTTTCTTTTTTTTTTATCCTTCCTGTCCAAATAAATGTATTTCTCCTACACAGGCAAATATTTTTAAAATGTATTTCAAAAGTTAGATTTCTGGAAGAAGAAAAAGAGAGGGTGGGGGTAGTGGCTTCTTGAAAACACCCGTTTGGAAGCAAGGAGCTGCTGGGGTAGGAAGGAGAAGGGGGAGCTAGCCCCAAGCCCCCTCCCCGCCCCACCCCCCGCCACCTTGCCATTTTGAACCCTGTTTCTTTATTTCTATGTCCTCCTAATACTTGAGTCTGGGAAAGAAATGTAAAAGTTCTGAGAAGAACCTGGATTTTGAGACAAACCAGAGGTTCTTGGGATCATCGTGAAGAATGAGAGAAAGGGGCTTCTGAGTTGCAGCAGTTTGGGACAGGTCCAGAAAGGGATTTCTGCGGGTGGGCAGGGGGGTGGGGAGAGGAATGTGGCCCCTGGAATGAGGGCTGAGTGGGGGTGTGGGGCCTCTTTTGGAGAGTTTTGAATGCAGAAGCGATTCTTTGCTGCGTGGGGCCTGGCCTGGGTGCTGGGGATTATGATAACATGCTTGTAATTTAAGGTGGCTCTAAAAATGAGCAGGGCCTGGTGGCTGGGGCAGCAGAGCCCAGGACTGGGGCCCTGCCGAAGGGCTATTCCCCAGTAGCCTTGCCTGGCTGGCCATACAGGAGCAGACACTGCAATCCCACCCCACCCAGTAAGCCCCCAGTCCCACTGCTCCAGCCTTGGCCTGGCTTCCCTGAACCAGCCACTCTTAAGTCGGAGGCCTTTGGGGGAGAAGGATTTGCTCTGGATGAGGTAGTTCTCTTCCATTTCCAAAGAGTGTTCCAGTCAGGTGTGAGAGAGAGACCTGAGTCCTCCCACTCCCAGGAAGGTTCTTACTGAGGAGACCTGTGCTTGGATACTATGGCCAGAAGAGGGTGGGCCACTCACTGGCTTCCTGGCCACTGTGGGGAACCTCTGTGTATTTCCTATACTAAGCACTCTTGTGGATTGGGGGAAGTCTGACTCCTAGAGGGGAGCAAGGAGAAGACAGTGACTACGAGTGCCTACTGTGTACGAAGCACCTCCGCCGCCGCCGTTCAATCTCCTGATAACCAGAGAAGGTGGGTATTGTTATCACCCAGGCCCAGAGAGGTGAAGTGACTTGTGGTTGGTCACACAGTAGCGTGGGAACAGCTAGATCAGTGAATCCACCACCAGCCTTGCCCCAGCCTTGGGCTCCCCGCCTCTGGGAATGCTTCTCTTCAGGAGAAATTTTACCCTCCCAAGAAGTCCCCTCTCTCTGTCTAAGATGCCATCTTGTGTGGAAGCTGGGCACCCTGCTAGTTGGGTTTCTTGCCCTTGGGGTGGCATGCAGGCCAACCAATCGATGCTGGTGGGGGTGCCCAAGACTCAGAGGGCCAGGGCCCTGTCCTCTTAAGCTAGCCTAATTGCTGTGTGACCTTGGGCCACCGCGGGGCCTCTCTGGGTCTCACTTTTCCCATCTCTTCTTCCGGGGAAGCCCCGGGTAAATTTGTAACTCAGCTCCAGCTTTGCTGCCTCGGAAGGTGCTAGCAAGGCCACAGAACCCTCCCCTGAAAAACAGCTCCCGCACCCCAGCCGCAGGGAGGCGGATTATGTAACTGGGTGTGCGGCGTGTGTGTTGAGGGGGGGGCGCGGGGCGGGGCGCTCGCGGCTATTCCGGGCGCCGCTATTTTTAGCCCCATTGATGAGGCTGCGTCGGCCGCCGCCGCCGGGATTCCGGAGACGTCAATGGGCGCGCGTCACGGTCCCCGCCCGCCCACCGGGGGAGGCGCGCCCGGGGCTGGGACCGCGGCGCTGGCGGCCGCGGGCTGCGGGGGCGGGGGGCGCGGCCGCCGCCGGAACTGCGGGGCGGGGGGCTTCCCGGGGTGGGGGGCTCGGAGTCGCGGCGGCGCGGCTGCAGGAGCGCGCGTGGCGGCGGCGGCGGCGGAACTGGTGGGGGCCCCCGCGCGGCGCCCGCGACCCCCGGCCTCCCGGCATGGGCGCCCCTGCGGTGCGGAGCAGCTCCCCGCCGGCTGGTGCGCGACCGCGGAAGGCGGGGGTGCAGAGGCGAGCAGAGCTCGGCGGGCCAGGTGAGGGGGGGCTGGGTGGGGAGGGGAGGGGGCCCCCGGGAGAGGCCCGGGAAGGATGGGGTCTCCGCGTAGGCAGTGGGGTGGGCCGGGAGCCACGCTGGGCGTCCTGCTGGGGATCGGGGCTGTGTTGGGTGCGGGGAGGGAAGGACTGGATTCCCAGAGGAGCCTGCTCGCTCAGAGTCAGCCCCCGAGTGCGGCGGCCAAGGCTTTCTCTCCCCGGCCCGCCAAGGGTGGGGTTTGGCCCGCGAGGGGCGCTGGAGGTGGCCAGGCAGGAGAAATTCCTTCCATTTCCCCGCCGGCTGCGGGGAATGGGTTCCAGGAGTTCGGGAGGGGAGGGACCAGACTCGCCCTGTGCAGTCCCTTCTTGGGATTGAATGAAGAAATCGAGCCAGGAGAGGGTCTCGTAGAGTCAGGAACGGACCTGGGATTAGAAATGCTGCAGAAGTGGCATTTACAGTGAAGCCTTAATTTGGATTGGGGGCTAGTTAGTGTTCGGGCATGCTGGGAAAAGGAAGGCTGGGCAGAGGTAGGTGTCTTCGTAACAGTTGTGCCCAAAGGGTGCTGATGGATTAGGGGGCTGATAACAGCCTGGACAGGGACTTCAGTGGCGGCTGCAACCGTGGTCCTACACCCACTCCAAGTGAATGTTTAGATCAGTGACTTGAATGAAAACTTAAAAGGGAAGCCGGCTGACTCTTTGTAAAGGCCTAGAGCCAAGGGGAATGACAGGATAAAATCAAGATTCCAAATGATGGCAGCCAGGCAGAAGGATGGACCAAGATGAACAAGATGAACAAGATGAATGTGACTGATTATAAATGTTGGGGCCTGTGTTGGAGTGAGGAAAATTAGCTCAGGAGTTCAGGCCTAGGGGCGTCTGGGTGGCTCAGTCGGTTAAGCGTCTGCCTTCTGCTCAGGTCATGATCCCAGCGTCCTGGGATCGAGCCCCACGTCGGGCTCCCTGCTCAGTGGAGAGTCTGCTTCTCCCTCTCTCTCTGCCTGCCTCTCTGCCTACTTGTGTTCTCTCTCTCTCTGTCAAATAAATAAATAAAATCTTAAAAAAAAAAAAAAAAAAGGAGTTCAGGCCTAGTGCCTGGCTCTAAGGCGCAGAACCCAGGGTCCGGAGCTTCCCACTTGCTTTCTGGTGTTAGCTGCCAAACTGCTCCATGCAATCTGAGACCTCTACCCACTAGAGGAGTCTAGGAGGGGAAGAGGGATGCCTGGCCCGGGGCTCCCTGGTCGGGCCCCCTGGGTCCTAATCCTGGCTTTGCCACTTCCTAGCTGTGTGACCTTCAGCAAGTTGCTTAGCATTTCTGTGCCTTAGTTTCCCCATCGGTAAAATGTTCATTATAGTAACCTCTTCCTCATAGTGTTGTGAGGCTGCAATGAGAAAGTGCATGTAAAGTGCTTAGTAATGTATCTAGCACATGGTGTTCAGTAAATATCATCTGCTGTTATTATGCCCATTTCTGGTTGGGGACTTGGCCAATGCAGAGCTTACATCCAGGAAGGCATTGGGGCTGCAGAGGGTCTGCCAGCCATGTCCTGTGGTGAGGAGGAGTGTAGTTAAGAGAAGACAAATACTTGATAGGAAGGAGGGGAAGGAGGTTTCCGGTGGGCCCAGGCAGAGCTGGGATCCAGGCCCGGGGCTCTTGGAGTCAGGGTTGTAGCTCAGCATAGGGATGAACCCTCAGACTTTGGATCTGCCCTCCAGTGGAAGGGCCAGTTCCTTAGCTCCAGCATTCTCCCCACCTCCTTCCAAGCAGCTGGCTGGTCCGCTCAGCCCAGTTCTGATGCAGGCACGCGTGAGTCCACTTCTCCCACATTCCTCAGATACTTCCCGAGTACCTACTAGTGCTGAGCTCTGTTTGGGAGACCAAAGACAGCCGAGATTGAGACAGATGAGTGAACAGCATTAGTCCTGTGGAGCTAATAAAAATAGGTTAATAGGTGGTGGTGGCGGGGGTGTGTGTGGAGCCTCTCCAAGGAGGTGGAATGGGACTGGAAACCTGATTGCTGAGAAGAAGCTAACCATACAGACATGCTGGGCAATGACTTTCTCGGTAGAAGAAACAGCCAAAGCAGTGGTCTGACGGGGGAAAATAAGCCCATGTGCTTGGAGTACTGCAAGGGAGGGGGAGCGAGAACGGGGTCCTGAGGTCTGGCCTGAGGTTCCCACGCCATTTAGGGGGCATCACACTTTTCTCCTCCAAGCCCCCTCGGCCCTGGGTTCACCCTCTGCACAGTGCTGAGTGTAACTGACCTTGATTCATTCCCCCATCAGAACCTCCTGGGGCCCAGAGATGTAGGTTTGCTCCTTCTCAGATCTCCTGTGGTTCATGGCTCACTGCCTGGCTCACAGTAGGCCCTCAGTCAGTGCTCGCGGAGGGAACTTTGGTCTGAGACAGGAGAGGGGTTCTAAGATGTTATGAAGCACTTTCTGGGCATGCCCTGGGTCGCCGACTCTGGCCCCTACTCTCAGAGACAGGAAGACCTGGGTGCTCAGGGCCGGCCTGACTGTGGTGGGAGGTGTTGGCCCTTCCTGCCCTTCCTCCTCAGTTGTGGACTGGTAGGGAGAAAAGGGAAGGTTGTGGAGGGGAGCGCGGGGCCTTACTGCGGACCTGTTTCTGGGGTATGGGAAGATGACAGTGTCATTCTGGGAAGCAGGTGTAGCCCATGGGCTAGGGCAGGTCTGAAGCCTGATTTTGCCTTCTGTGAGGGGCTGGAAGCCCTCTGGGTATTCTAGACTTCTCCCTTCCCTTTCTCTCCTGCCACCTTTACTCCCTGCTCTCCATTACACCCACAGGAGCATGGGAGTGCTGGTAGCAGTGTGAGAGGAGAATCCAGGTACCATGGTCCAGAGTAGCTTCCATTAGCCCGTGGACCCTGGGGCAGAGGTCAGGAGGGCAAGGAAGCCCATCACCCACCCTCTGGGGCCCTCCTCCTCCTCCTTACTCCCTCTACCTCCCACCATGGGAACATCTGCTTCTCTTTCCCACACCTCATCTTGGCCTGTAGGGCACCTGGTCCTGCTCTCACTCTGGGGCTCAGTTGAGAGAGGAGAGGGCTGAATTAGGGTGGAAGAAGGGAAGGCAAGATGTGGGGTCTGGAGTACCCTGGCTGAAGGAGGCTTTGGCACTGGTGAGAGGTCGGACGAGAGCTTAACAAGGCTGGAAGGGTGGTGCTCACATTTGGCTCACGGAAGTGGAGGCCAGGTGCCCAGAAGTGGCTTGAAATAAAAACCAGGGTCTGGGGCTGGCTCTGATGTGTCCTCATTTAATTTCTCCTGATAATGGTAGTGCTATCATATATGTATCTGGCACTGTTCTATGTCCTTTACACGTATGAACTCATTTTAAGCCCCACCATATCTCTGTGGTTGTTAATTTCAGAGATGTCAATTACAGATTGTCATTTTCACAGTTGAGGAACATGAGGCACAGAGAGATTTTGTAACTTGCCCAAGATGACAAGTGACAGAGCCAGGATTTGAACACAGGCATCTGGATCCAGCGTCTGTGCCCTTAACTACTTCGCTTCAAGCTGGGTCTTCGTGTTTGGGGACTGGACTGCCTTCACAGAGTATTTCTTGGGAGTCCCCATTGCTCTGGTTAGAAGGCTGAGCTGCCTGAAGATGGGGCGATTGAGCCCCTGCCCTGTGGGGTCCTCTGAGGCTTTAGGGGCCAAGTTGGAGCCTTCTAAGGAGAGAGGGGTATTTTGCCCTGTCCGCACAGTAGCTCCCTTTTCTCTGCCTACAAAATGCCCTTTTGTGCGCATCAGGGCCAAGTGCTGGACTGAAGCCCCCCGCCCCCTGCCCCCCCCGCGCCGACAACCCAGGAGTGGGACAGGAGACTGAGGGGCTGGATGCTGGCATGTGTCTCTGTGGCCCTGAGATGGCCCAGATACTGTCAGCAGTTCCTGATCACGTCCCACATCCCCAAGAGCTGTTTGCCTGGGGTTCTGTGTTGCCCCCAGGTTCTGCTGCCCAGCCAAGGGAAGTCCTTGGGCTGGCTTGTTGCTTCTCATGGCCTGGGTCCTGCCCCTGTTCCTACTCCTGTGTTTCCTGGCTGTGCTGCCTCCAGGGAATGTCCCTGCTGACTGGTTCCTCCGCACTCACACTGATTCTCCCTCTGTAGGCTTCCACCATGGACAGAAGCCAGCCCTGGTCCCTCTCTGGTGTCCCAGCTCCTTCTGCCAGGCCCTGGGGGCCCAAGGGATGGTTGACTGTTGTCCGAGGTCTGTTGGTTCATCCAGACTGGTAAGTGCTCTACTGTTGTCCTTTGTACACCTCTGTACACCTCTGGGGCCTTCAAGCAGGTCGGACTGGGGGGCAGAGGTGGGTGTGGAGCTGCCCTAAGCAGATGTGGTTTCAGGGACGGAGGGGGAAGCCCTGCAGAGGTGGCAGGGGAGGTGCTGCTCAACTTGGGGAGATCTGATTTCTTCAGTGATGGAGGTAATGTGGGGGTGGGGAAAGGGGACGCCTGGCTTTCTTAGCAGGATAGGCTGGGGGACTCTGGGCCTGGGGCGCATAGGCTGGTGTGGGAGGAGAGGGGCAAGGGTGTGGGTGAATGACTGCTGTTACCAAGGCAGCATATGTCTGGTGCTGATGGGGTGGGGCTGGATAGCTCAAGCAAGGCTGGGAGTATAGCGGGGCCGGCAGAGGGAATGGGAAGTTGGCTTGTTTCTAGGGAGGGCACCAAGGGAGTGCATGAGGGAAGGCTGGGATCATCTGCCCCCTAAAAGGGCGATGACCACCCCCGTCCTACTATGGTGGGTCTGTATGGGGAAGATCTTGCTGACAAAGGGTGTGATAGACCCTCCACGATTCACCCAACATCCTTGAGGGGGAAAATCTCAGACTTGTGGCCGTGGCCAGAGGGATTCTAGGCCATCTAGTTCACCTTCTTTTATGGATGAAGAAACTGAGTTATAGAGGGGAGAAGTGACTTTTCAAGATCCTATGGTGAGGACATGTAGAGCTAAGCTTAGAATCAAGGTCTCCCAGAGGCCTGGTCGGCTGGTGGAGGACACACCTTCCTTGCCTGAGGACGCTTCTGGAGAAGATCTGGGGGTGAGGGGTGGAGTGTAGGAACGGAATTTCCACCAGATCTTTCCCATGGGATCTCAGACACTAGGATGGGGCCAAGGGCACCGCAGTCCCGGTTACCATGTTTACCTGAGAGAGCTGGAGTTCAACCTGGCACCCTGGCCAGGGGCCTGTGATTGCCTTTTTCCTTTCCAGGAACGGAGGGCTGTCTCCGAACCACAGCCCCCTTCAGGCCTTGAGAGATCCCTAGATGAAGGAGGAGCTGGCTCTGTATTTCCCCCGGCTCCCCAGACACTGTTGCCTCATGGGGAGTGGGTGTTCAGGGCACAGGGAGTCCCATGGAGGTGGCTGCGATGGGGGAGGCCGGGGTGGCCAGTGTGAACCTGGGTGGAAGGAGGGGAGGCCCTGGGAAGCAGGGCCTCCTGTTCCAGGGGCTGGGCTGGGTGTGCACCTGGCTACCTGCTGGCAACCGGCTCCATGCCACAAACCTTGGGCTGGGGGCAGGGAGGGGAATTACCGTAAGTGGGAGAGGCAGGTGTCCCTGGTCAGCCAGGGATCTGGACTCGGGAGGCACGTGAGTGAAGACAGCAGCGGGCCAGATGGCTTCCCTCAACCTGGCCCCCACCTCTACCGTCAGCTCAGACCGCCTCCTGAGTGCCCAGCCTTCCCCTCTGGGTACAGAGCGGCCCCCGTGGGCAGAATTCCGTGTGTTCAGCTCGTTGTCTGGGTGATGGTGGTGACTGGGTGGAACTCTCATGCCATATCCACTGCCAAGGCCACCCCGAGGGGCTGCCAACCGGGGCCCCGTGAGTGCTAGAGCTATTGGTCTTGTGACGTGGGCACCTGTCTGCCAGGCCCGGGCACGAGCCCAGGGTCACGCTCACGCCGGGGCTACCGTCAGCTGACTATTTTGGGCTCTTGCTGACCTGGGCCAAAGTCAGGCCTCAGCCAAGAGGGCCCCGAGGCAGCTCCCTCTGTCCCCAGAGGCCGGCTCTGGTTTCGGCTATATAAACAGAGGAGGGCATGCTGGCTTGGAGAGAGCTCCATGTCCTAAGTCCGCTCAGCTGGTGCACAGCCTTGGCCGGGCAGGCCGGGCTGACAGGGCAGTCCTGTCTCTTTCCACAGGGCTCCCTGAGGCTGCCCGGAAGAGCCCCTGACCAACCACAGGATACTCGCCTGGTGCGGTTGTCCAGGATCTCTGAGAGTCTAAGCAGATCGTGAAGAGACAGCTGGTGAGTCTTAGGGATGGGGAAACTGAGGCATGGGGGCTGGGCTGTTTGGATCTTTTTCCATTGTGACCATCTGTGTTGTGGTTTCTTTGGCCTTGAGAGGAGGGGGGCAGAGGAGGAAACGGGTGGCTGACCTTCCCGAGGAGTGAGAGTAAAGCTTGACCTGAGTTGGGTGGTGGTGGGAGTCACATTTGGGAGCATGCCGTGATCAAGAGCTGGGAGACGTGGGAAGAGACAGGTGCTGCCATCTCTCTCCTTCCTTGGAGATTTCCACCACGCTCTGGGGCCTCCTCTTCTGTGACCCAGCCTGGATGAGGCACTGGTCGCCTCGGGCTGGGGAGGGACGCTGGAGTGAGCTGGGTGGCCATCGGGGGACCTCTGCATTGGTCCCTGAGGAGGGTCCCTGAGCCTCCCAGCTGGTTGGGACTCGGGGACTTGGCTAGCCCTCAGCCCCTGCCCTGCTCTCCTTGCCTGGCTTCCCAGCTGGTCGTGGTGTCTGCGAAGCAGGGCTGGAGCGAGGTCTGGCAAGTCTGCCAACCATCTTGCCACAAACACGCTCCCCGGGCCCCGGGCCAGGAGCTGCAGCCCAGCATGGAATAAGTGGCAGCCCCTTGCGTGGGAGGCTCTTGTGCTCTCCTTCTCAGTTCTCAAAAAAAAATTTTTTCCCCTTTCTGAACGTGAGTCTCTAAATGAATCCAGAGCCTGTGACTAAAAATACTTTAACAATAGGAAAATGCATCAGTCTTTCCGGCTGGGGCTCGTTATCAGAGGGTTTTTATTTTGGAATTTGAAATTTTGCCCAAGGAGCCTGGGTGGAGACCTTGGGCAGGGGCAGGAGAATTTGGTGGGTGGTGATGTTCTGCAAGGTGGTGGGAGGCCCTCCAAGGGTGGAGGAGAGGAGCTGGCCAGGAGCTGAGCAGACTGGGGGGCATGGAAGGAGGTTCGAGGAGGGTGCAAACAAGGCATAGACCGACCTTTCCCAAAGGCACTCCATGATCTTGTCTGCGTTTTTTCAGCGCCGTCTGGCTCTTCTTCCCGAAGTCTGATCTTATTCTTTTGTGCTGTCTGTGAATGCCTCCTAGCCTGAGAGGGAGGTGAAGGTCGAGAAATCCCTGGACTAAAGACAGCCTCTGTGGAGAGAGGCCTGGCCTCCTTAACTCACAAGCTTTCTCCAGAGTATTAATTGAGCACTTGCTGCATACAGAGTCTGGAATTTTCCCAGTGCTGCGTGGAGCCACATCTCTGGGCACACTCTCATTTCCTTCCACTCAGCCATGGAGGGGGAAGAGGTGGGGATGGGGTTACTGTTCTCCAGTTCTTGAAGAAGGGGGTGCTGGCTCCCCAGTCTAGCTGAAGACCCTGGTATCTCCTTTCCCAGCCTGCCCTCCCTGCCCCAGGATCCTGCTGCAGGTCCCTAGAGTTCAGCTTCCCAGGCAGGGTTCCATTTCACTGGTAAGCCTCCCTCTTCCCTAACCAGTTGAATTCTCACAGCCCTGGGAGTGTGATGTTGTCTGCACTGGGGAGATGAGGAACGGTCTGGGAGAGGGCAAGGGACTGGCCCCAGGGCACACACCAGGCTTGCTGGCTCCTGGTCAGAGATGGCTCTGGGAGCTCCTCCATCTTTTGTCCCTACTGGGGTTGGGGTGAGAGGCAGGGGGCAGTGGCTTACCTGCCCACGTCCTTGGGAGTCTGTTGTCAAGGAGGTAACAGCATGTGTGGTCGTGGCAGGGCCTGGGCAAGGGCCAGGAGATCAGAGTCAGAGGCCTGGGCCCGACCCTGCATCCCCAATTGCCAGAGCTGTCCATGGGAAGCCCCCTGGGTAGTAGGTACTGCTTCCTTGCCCACAGCACAAATCCCCCTACCCACTGCCAAGGCAGGAAGAGGAAGTGGCCAGGTCAGGGCTGGCGATAGGTCCTGGGGCCGAGGAGGGGAAGCTCCTGTGGCCACTTCTCAGCAGGAGGAGGCAAAGCTCACTCCTTCTGCCCACCACGCGGGAAGGGCGTGGAGGCCTGTGGGTGGGGATGGTCTTGGTGAAAGTAGGGCAAGTTCCTGCCCTCTGTTAGGGGGTGTGGAGGGTGGCGCCGCCCGGGGGGGGGGCAAGTGTGGGAAAGGGGCTGTGCATTTCCACTTCCTCCATCCCCCATTTACCCAAATGAACGATGGTGGACATTGACTGCCCATTTGGGGCCTGCCCTGGGCTAGTTACTATTGAAGATGCATGAAGGCCCCCCCCTGCTGAGGCTGGGGAGACAGGACTTTGCCCTCATGTTCACACATAGCTGGAGGAGGGATGAGTCAGCGCATAAGTCCCCGGGCCCATAAGGTCTGACTTGGAGGGGCAAAGGCCTAGTGAGTGCTTCAGAAAGCATCCTGTGTGAAGGCCCCTTTCTAATGGGAGATATGGCAGCCTCTCCTAACCGTAGCTGTGCCCTGCGTGTGTCGATAGAACAAATACATAATGGGAAACAGGCACTGTTCTCCGATTTCAGCAACACACACTTGAATGAATCTGTACTCGATGAATTCCAGCAGCATCTGCGTCCATGTGAATAAGTAAGTCTCGCCCGTTTAGGCGTGGCTATTTTTTAAATAAACTTTTGTTTTTGAAAATATACATACAGAAAAGTGCACAAATCTAGGTGTGAAATCTTAAGAGTAGAGTGTGCTGATTTTTCCAGGGTGAACACACCTGGCTGCTGATCGTTGTCCAGGTTGGAAACTGGAATGCTTCCAGTCCCACCAAAGACCCCCTCATAGGCACTGCTGTTTTCAGTTTACAGGCTCTGTGTGTGTGTGTGCGCGTGTGTGCGCGCGTGTGCACTTACGCACACCTGGTTCCGTGGTGCACTAAGAAGCCCCAGTCTGCAGCCCACAGTGGGGGCCGTGGGTCCAGCACAGACCTGAGAGTTAGGGGACCTGCATTTGAGTCCTGCCCCTGAGCCTCCATCTCCTCGTTTATGGGTCACAGTTCTAAACCTGGAAGGTTGAGGGGAGAGTTTAGTGGAAGAATCCATGCGAAGTGCTGTGGACTGAGGTCTGATCCTTGATTGGTGTTCCCCATAACTCCCCTCACCTATGAGAAGGCTGGGGGAAGGGTATGGCTTGAAGTCTTGGAGGATGGGCAGGATTAGAGCAGAAGGGAGGAAGAGGGGTCACTCTGCCCACTGAATGGTGGGAAGTTTCATCCAAGGTCCTTTTATGGGAGCAGCGGGGAGCTGGGGGTAATGAGGGCAGGTTGGTGCACTGGGCCAGGCTGTGCTGTGGGAGCCTGGTGTGGACTGTCGTCTCATCTCCAGCGCGACATCTCACCCTGCGCTTCTTGTGTTATCATGGTCCTGCCTTACCTTCTGGTCCTTGCCTCTAGTTTTGGCTCTCTCTCCCACTATTACCTCCTTCATCATTACCTGTCCCCTCCCACCCCACACCTCCCCCCACAAGGGGCTGTTCACTTTGACCTTGCTCTTGAGGGCTGGACTTGGAGATCCCTTGGGAGCCTGGGACCAGCTTACGCTCCAGGCCTCCCACGGTCTGCATTAATTGTGCCTTTCCCCAGAGTTCCACCTTAGCCAGATTCCACTCTTCTCAGAGCCCCAGGACACCTTGGAGGGCCTCTGGCCAGCAGGGATGAGACCCTGGGTCCCAAAGACCCTCATGCCTCTCTCCCCTCTGCCTTAAGGTAGGTGCTCCACATGGGTGCCTGAATGGGTGGCCCTGGCTGTGCTCCCACAGAGGGACTCTGCCTTTTTCTCCTTGTTTATTTTCAGAGCGCAGTGTCTACAGACCCTGCAGCATCCCTGCCTCCACAAACATGGCCAGGTGGCCGCTGTGGTTGCCTTCCCCTCCCTCTGCCTTTGGGGCAGTGAGAAGGCAGCCTCCAAAGCTGCAGTATCCTGGCGAGGTGGGGCCGGGGCTGTAGGCTCACACCTGGAGGCTAATGCTGAGATTTGGAGATGCAGGCCAGGGCCTTGGGCAGCTCCTCGCCACACTTAGTTCCCTGGGGCTCCTGGGTGGGCTGGCCTGTGGGAAGGTAGGGAAGGTCTTTGTTGCTTTTTACAAATGGAAAGTGGTGGGGAGGACAGGGGCACTAGGGCTCAAGGCTGGCTCAGCTCTCAAAGAACTGGTAAGACTGGGCTTGAGCACAGATGGATCAAGCTGCAGCTAATACACCTGTTAGGCTGATGCAGGATGGAGGGAGCATTGACTTGGCTAATCATATTTTTCTAACATTAATTTTTTTTTTTTTTTTTTTGAGGAAAGCCCTACTGGGGTGGAGGGAGGCATTCCAGAGTGGGGTGACGGGCTAGGTGGGAAGCCAACTCATGATGTGGCTGGGGCCAGCTTCACCAGCCCAAACTTGCTGTGTACTTCTGAGCAAGGTGCAGCTCCTCTGGGAACCCTTGGGTCCTAATCTGCAAAATGGGAGGATGTGAATGATATTAGCAGTTTTATCTTTTTTATTATTTTTTCTTTAAATACCTACTTTTTTAAAAGATTTATTTATTTAGGGGCACCTGGGTGGCTCAGTTGGTTAAGCGACTGCCTTCGGCTCAGGTCATGATCCTGGAGTCCCGGGATCGAGTCCCGCATCGGGCTCCCTGCTCGGCGGGGGGTCTGCTTCTCCCTTTGACCCTCCTCCCTCTCATGCTCTCTGTCTCTCATTCTCTCTCTCTTAAATAAATAAATAAAATCTTTAAAAAAAAAGATTGATTTATTTATTTGAGAGAGAGAGAGGAAGCACGAGCAGGGGGAGGGGCAGAGGAGAGGGGGAGAAAGAGAAGCAGATCCCCACCGAGTTTGGAGCCTACCACGGGGCTCCGTCTCATGACCCTGAGATCACGACCTGAGCTGAAATCAAGAGTCAGACGCTTAACCGACTGAGCCACCCAAGTGCTCCCTGTTAGCAGTTTTAAAGCCTTTTGGGTGTTTTTTTTTCTTCTTTCTTTCTTTTCTTTCTTTCTTGCTTCCTTTCTTTGTTTCTTTATTTCTCTCTTTCTTTTCTTTCCTTTCTTTCTTCTCTTTTTCAAGCAGAATCTATGCAAAAGCCCAACACAAAGCAAAACAAAACTTCGGTGTGAAGTGGAGTGGGGATCTTGGACAGGTCCCATTGTATTATTCTGCCCACGCTTCACCTTCAGCCAGGTGGCCTTGAAGGGTGTTTGGAAGATGGTTTGGGAAAAACCAGAACTCTCCAAAGACCGGTCCACGTTGAGATTGTATGCTGAAGTGGGGGCGTTATGGCAGGTTCTGGCCAGATCACCGAATGAGATTGGGGTTGCATGAAGACTACTCCACTGGTGGCAGCAGGGGGATTTGGAAAGAGGAGACAAGCTGGTTGAGGGGCAGTTTCCTTATTGGGTGTGGGCAAGGAGAAGTGGAGGTCACTGGCCTCACTCAGCTGGTCTGCTGTCTTCATGCACCAGTAAGGCGTGGGCTGTGGTTGGCAGTAGGAACGGGGATCCAAGAGATGTTCCAAAATAGAATTTCAAGAAAAAAAAAAAATGAGAAGTTGCTTGTGGGGCATCGGGGCAGAGATGGGGCAGGGAGTACAGCGATGACAAGCTCTCTGCAACGGATGAAGTTTGAGATGCTGGCAGGACCTTTGAGTGGGCAGAAGTGAGGGCTGGAGACAAGGGTGTGGGAGACCTGAGATGGGAGGTGGGAGTGGAAGTGAGGAACAGGAAGTGCCTCGGGTAGGGGGAAGTGCTGTCGGGTGACCAGATTAGGTGAGAGTGGGGCCACCACTGCAGGCGCAGTGGAAGCAGAAACTCTTCAAGTTGACTTACTGGGGAGAAGGGGGCTGAGTGGGACGGTCTCTTCTCCTTGTAAACATTAGCATCACTTCCCCTCTCTCTTACCTAACAAGTGCGGGCTCCCCAGGTTTGGGGTAGAATGGGGGTGGAGGGGTGACAGCCAGATCAGGGAAGGTTCTAGGTGGGCTGCAGCGTGGTCTGTGCCCTGATACAGCCCTGGCCGCCCCTTCTTGCTCCATGGCACAGGTCAGAGCTGCTCTCTCCACAGGTGCTGGAAGTGAGGTAGGAGTCATGGACAGGGGAGGGCGTGAGAAAATCCCCTACAGATGCAGTCAGAGGTCCCGGCTTCCACCCCAGTGGGCCACCACCTCGCTGTGTGACCTTGAGCAAGTGCCATTATTTCTCTGAGCTTGTTTATTTATAAAATGGGGAAGAGTCGGCACAAATTTGACAATATTTCTCAGGCTCCACCCGGTTCTGAAATTCGGTAATTTCCCAACTATAGTGCACCCACCCTGTAAGGGACTGGGAAGAAATCAAGTTCAGCGTGTGGAGCGGAGCCCATTGGCCCATCTTGGGCCTGGCAAACCCCTGCCTTGGGAAGGTACTTTGCATTGGGAGAGTAGGGGGCGGAAACGACGGGGGTGGTCGTGGGGGGCTCTGACGTTCCTGGGCCAGTCTCTCAGCCAGTGACCCTGCTGGGGAAGACGGGTCAAGTGCAGTGGCTGCGCCTTGGGCTGAGGTGGGGGTGCAGGCTGTCCGGGGTGTGTCCCAGAGTTGCCCGCCCCGGCCCGAGCGGCAGCCCAGCAGCGGCAGAGGGCGACCCCCCAGGGCTCCAGGAAGGGCTGGGAGAGTGCAAAGGCGGAGCCGGGCGCGGAGGGAGCCGGAGGGAGCGGGCGCGGTCGTGGCTCCCCAGAGCAGCCGGAGGCTGCAGAGATCCGAGTCCGGGGAAGCCCCGCGGCCGCGGCTCTGGAGCGCCCCCTTCTCGGACTCTGGCCCTCCAGGCCGGTTGTTTCGGACCCGGGGGCCCCCGGGCCGGGTCCTGGGTCCGGCGGGGGGGGGGCCTCGGGAGTCCGGGAGCTGCTATTTTTAGCCGGCGCGGCGGGCGCGAGGGAACTATTTATAGATCAAACAATCCGCGCTCCCTGCGTCAATGGAACCCCGCGTGCGTCACGCGCGCAGACATTCCAGGCCCCCTCTCGCCCCGCCCCCTCGGGCTCCCCGTCCCGCGCCTCCCCCTGGCCGCCTCCCGCCGGAACCGCGCCGCCCCCCGCGCCCTTGTATGGCCAAAGCTCGCCGGGCCGCGTGCGTCAGTGGCGCCCCCGCCCCTCCCCGTGCGTCACGGAGCGCTTAAGAGGAGGGTCGGGCTGGGCCAGGGAGCCCCAGTAGCAGAGGCTGCGGAACTTGGGGGAGTGTGTGCAGGACCGGGGGAGCGCACGCGGGACCAGACTGCGACTCGGGGTGCCGGTCCCGGGCAGGGGGAGCAGGAGCCGGCCAGGTAGGTGCCCCCCCGGGGGGGGGGGCGTGCATTTCAGCAGCGCTCTCTGGTTTCTAGGAGCGTTGCATGAAGGCGATGGGCGTACGCGCGGGCAGAAAGGATGTGTAGGGTCAGCGTGCAGGAGAGCGGGTGTAGGGTGCAGCCCTGGCGTCAGAGGAGAGCTGTTGGAGCGGGATGAGGAGCTTGATCGGACTTGAATCTACTGGGCGCGGGGGTGGGGTGGGGGGGTGTCTGTGCAAGGTGGAAGCCGCAGGGGGTTAGAGTTGGCACCAGGAGCGGGGACTTGTTCAGTAGGAGGCTGGCTGTAGTTGACTTTCCAAGGGTATCCGGTTGGCACAGGGCGCCCCGGACTGAGGTGCTGATGGGGTCTCAGTACAGCGGGGGAAAAGATAACACAGAACTTTAACTGCTAGGATCCATCGGACTCCTGCCAGGATTGGATTTCCAAAAGGGTCTTCTTCCTCCCGGCATGTCCGCCTCCTCCCCCATTCCCTTAGTTGTTTTCTTAACACTTTAGAGGCTGTGGTTTAGGTTGCAGGGATCCCCAAAGTTGCTGCCTGAACTGTATCAAGAGACTTCTGGATTGCTGAAGGAAAGGGACAGCATTGGTGGCTGAACTGTGGAGGGGTACTGCTTGTGTTTCACTAAACGAGTCTTCTTAGGTGCGGGGTCTCTGGAAGCACAGGGAAGATTGTTTTAGCTGTAGCTTGGATCCTGTGTATGTGTGTGAGAGAGAGAGAGAAAGAGAGAGAAAGAAATGAGATGTAGAAATCTTGGTCTTTGGAGAGCCTGGGTGGGAGTTGCTAATGTTGGAGTCTCTGGTGTACTACCTGAAGGATACTCCCTCACACTGTCCCAGCCCCACGTGCTGATCACATCTGTGCCCCCCTCCCCCCAGTCCCTGTTGGCTCATACAGGTGGGGTGCAGCCTGAAGCTTGTTCAGCATAACAGGTGCAAACCACCTTGTTGCCAGGACCTGCCTGAAGCCGGATTCTCCCTGCTCCCTCCTTCAACCCCGCCTCTTCCTCCTCCCTCTGGGACTGCTTCTCCCCCACCCCCCTTGACGTTAGTGTAGGTCCGTATCTGGTGTACCTGCGCGGAGGTGGGGGGGGGGGCGGATAGGCTGGTGGGGGTTGATCCGGATGTGGGACGTCCAAGTGGAGAAACAGGATTTGAATAAAGCTGGAACACCCAGCCTTATTCCAGGTGGCTGCCACCTCTCCTCCACCCCAAACCCATCCCTGCCTAGGCTGTCTTCGTGCAGGGAGACGTGGCGACTCTTACCTCTTGCAGGTGCACTCTATCCCGGGTGGGTGGTGCCAGCGCTTCGAGGGGCTCCGTGGCCTGGGTTGGTTGTGGGAGTGTCAGGCCAGGGGTGGAGCTGCCCTGTCCAGTGTCCATGGAGGTGGGAGGAAGGCTAGAACCAGAGGACTCCCTGGGCTCTTGGCCAGGAGGTGGTACCAGCCTTTGCCCCCTCTCTCTGCTCCCTGGGTTATGGCGCTCTCTGTTCCAGCTTGCTTCCTTACCCAGCCTCCCCCCCCTGACTGGGAGGGCCAGAGCTGTGCCGACCCCAGGCATGGATGTGGGATGGGGAACTGGCCCAGAGCCTCTTCTATGTTAGTTTTTGACCAGTCTGCAGACTTAAGGATCCCCCCTCAAATGGTGCTGTCTCTGCTCCTTCAGGCTTGCCATGATTGAGGGTATAACCAGCCCTCCTTGCCCGAGCTCCTGGATTCTTCAGGGCACAGATACTCCTCAGTGGAGGGACCCAGGCAAGGACAGGATGTCTTCCATCTGCTCACCAACAGGCTCCTTAAGTCTGCTGGACTCAGAGAGTTCTCTTATACAAATAATAAGGGGCAGTGCTTTGGGGGTAGCAGAGAAATTCTTCTTAGGGACTGTCCATTCTCCTGGAAGTCCAGGGGGGCCGTTCTGTCCTCCTTCTGGCCCCTATTCAGCCTCCCTCCAGCATACGGCCTTTAAAGGTCTGGAGACCAGTTACTTGATCCTCTGGGGAGCTGGGGACTGCTGAGGAGGCCCCGGCTCCCTTCCTTTTTGCTTTTGGGAGCATCCCAGGCAGCGCCGAGTGGGTGCCCATCCCCAGATGGCAGGACTGGGGTGCGCGTGGGAGCTGCAGCCTTTGTTCAGTGTGTAGGGTGGGGGCAGGGATGAGGGACAGGCTTCTGGCCGCTTAGGCCTCTTGCTTGGGCAGCTGGGCCTTCACTCTCGGCTTCTCTTCCATTTTCAGGATGTCCATCCCAGGCACTGTGGGGGGAGGAGGAGAGGGGGTTTTGCAAGGGCTGGGCCATGCCTGGGAATATTCCCAGAGGGCCAGGTTGGAGAAAAAGCATATCTGCACCCAGAGAGTGGGCTAAGTAAGGCTTTGCCTGGCTGCCTCTCCCACCCACCCTTCTCCCAGCCCCCACCCACGCCTTATTGGGTGCGGGAGGGCAGGGGGCTGGAGGAACACAGCTTCCCCCTGTTTCAGCAGAGAAATGCTGGCTGGATGCCTTCCCTAGGGTTCCCAGGCTGACTGGGGTGTGGCTGGCCTTCCAACTGAGCCCACTCTTGCTGGGCCACTGCCCAGGGGCTTTGTGACATGGGGATTGAGATGGTACTCCGGCTGGGGACCGGGGTTTCTGGGCTCTTTAGTGGGCCATGGTGCTAACGCCTCAGTGTCCTGTGTCTGGCTGGGATTCCTGCCGCCTGGCTACTCAGGGACCTAGACTTAGAGGTCAAGGCTGCAGGCTTCTCTCACTGACTCTTACTCCCCCAATCTTGGTCTCCTCCCTCTTCAGAGATGCCCTGTATCCAAGCCCAATATGGGACACCAGCACCGAGCCCAGGACCCCGAGACCACCTGGCAAGCGACCCCCTGACCCCTGAGCTCAGCAAGCCCACCATGGACCTGGCTAGCCCCGAGGCAGCCCCCACGGCCCCCACTGCCCTGCCCAGCTTCAGCACCTTCATGGATGGCTACACAGGGGAGTTTGACACCTTCCTCTACCAGCTGCCAGGAACAGCGCAGCCGTGCTCCTCGGCCTCCTCTTCGGCCTCCTCCACATCCTCCTCCTCGGCCACCTCCCCTGCCTCTGCTTCCTTCAAGTTTGAGGACTTCCAGGTGTATGGCTGCTACCCTGGCCCCCTGAGCGCCCCCCTGGATGAGACCCTCTCCTCCAGTGGCTCCGACTACTATGGCAGCCCCTGCTCAGCGCCGTCCCCATCCACGCCCAGCTTCCAGCCACCCCAGCTCTCTCCCTGGGATGGCTCCTTCGGCCCCTTCTCACCCAGCCAGACGTACGAAGGCCTGCGGGCATGGACAGAGCAACTGCCGAAGGCTTCCGGGCATGCCCATCCTCCGGCCTTCTTTTCCTTCAGCCCCCCTACTGGCCCCAGCCCCAGCCTTGCCCCAAGCCCCCTGAAGCTGTTCCCTTCACAGGCCGCCTGCCAGCTGGGGGAGAGAGAAAGTTATTCCGTATCAACGGCTTTCCCAGGCCTGGCGCCCACTTCTCCACAACTTGATGGCCCAGGGATGCTGGATGCGCCCGTGCCATCGGCCAAGGCCCGCAGTGGGGCTCCGGGTGGAAGCGAGGGCCGCTGTGCTGTGTGTGGGGACAACGCTTCGTGCCAGCATTACGGGGTCCGCACCTGCGAGGGCTGTAAGGGCTTCTTCAAGGTACTGGGCTGCCCTGAGTGTGGCTTTTTATGGGAAGTGGGCAGGACTGGTCTCTTTTCCCAGCAGCGTCTCCGTGGTGGCCCCCCTGGGGTTCTCTTCCCAACTAGTCCTGCCCTTCAGGGAGGGGTTGCATCTGCAGGGGGGCCACCCTCCTGGGGACTCACAGATGGCAGAGGGCCGCCCGCAGAGGGGTGGTGAGATACGGGCGAGGGTGCGGGCTACAGGGGTGCCCCCGGGAGGGCACATGCTAATGGCCAGCCTCTGGTTTTCCTCTGCCCGTCCTCCCCAACTCAAGGTCCTGGTGGGAAGGGGGCCCCAGGCACTCATGTTCCTGGCGTGAGATAAAAGGATCTGGGAAGAGGGCTTGATGCTTGAGGGCTGGGGGCGGGCTGGGGAACAGGCTGTATGTTTGTCCCAGCTCTGGGTGCCTGCTCAGCTTCCCGTCCCCACCCCCCACCCCTCCTCTGCCCTCTCTCGTCTGTCCCAGGGAAGACACATTGAGAGGTGCAGGTATCTTCGCTGCCAGGGAGCCCCGAACCCCTGGCCCCTAATCTTGTGTCCTGGGGGGGGATCTCCCTCTTTAGGCAGAAACCTCCCCCAATGTCCCCAAGATTTTCTTCTCCCCCCCCACCCCCCGCCATCTCTCCCTCCCCTGCCACCCAAATGTTAGAAAAATAGCTGTGAACAGAGAGTGCTTTTGTCTGTGATGGCAGCAGGATCTGGACGGTCCCCTCCCCTGGCCCCCCCCCCCGCCCGACTCTGACAGCCTGTTCCGTGTGGCCCCCCCATCCAGCGTACAGTGCAGAAAAACGCCAAGTACATCTGCCTGGCTAACAAGGACTGCCCTGTGGACAAGAGACGGCGAAATCGCTGCCAGTTCTGCCGCTTCCAGAAGTGCCTGGCCGTCGGCATGGTGAAGGAAGGTGGGTGGCTACAATGGGCGGGCCGGACAGAGGCGGGCCTGAGTGGGGGGCGGCAGACCTCGGTCCTGCTGGGCCGCAGTGGCTGGCATGAGCGGACCTTATGTCCACTCCCCCTCCGGTCCACCTGCCTGGCTCATCGGTGGGGGGGGGGGGGTGCTCTCTGTAGGGTCTCCGGGGCTCTAGGTCCTTAGACTCCGAGGTACTTCCCAGCATTGATGCACACAGTGTGGGCTGAGAGTCCCTTCCCTGGACCCCTTCCTCCCTTCCTTAGCCCCCTGCCCATTTTTCTGCAGTTGTCCGGACAGACAGCCTGAAGGGGCGGCGGGGTCGGCTCCCTTCAAAGCCCAAGCAGCCCCCGGATGCCTCTCCTGCCAATCTCCTCACTGCCCTGGTCAGGGCACACCTGGACTCTGGGCCCAGCACAGCCAAACTGGACTACTCCAAGGTGAGGCCCCACCCACCCCATACTCAGTGCCTTTGTGCACCTTGGACAAGGCCCCTCCCTAGTGCAACACATTGGAAAAAGAGGAGCCCCCTTCGGGGCCGGCCGGCTGGAAAAATGTACCCTCTCAGGTGGGCGGCCAGTTGGAAAAATGTGCTCCTCCCAGCAGCCTCGGTCCTGGCTTAATATTTGAGAATTGGCAAGCAAGTGCATGGGCAGAATCTCAGGCCCTCTCTCCCCCCCGGGGATCTGGCGATCCTCCGAGTGCATGACGTGGCCTCCTATGGCAGCCCTGGTGTGGGGCCCTTCGCGGGGTTCTGACCCCCCTGCTCCCCGGCCCACCCTCAGTTCCAGGAGCTGGTGCTGCCCCACTTTGGGAAGGAAGATGCCGGGGACGTGCAGCAGTTCTACGACCTGCTTTCGGGTTCCCTGGAGGTGATCCGCAAGTGGGCTGAGAAGATCCCTGGCTTTGCTGAGCTGTCCCCAGGCGACCAGGACCTGCTGCTGGAGTCGGCCTTCCTGGAGCTCTTCATCCTCCGCCTGGCCTACCAGTGAGTTGCCGCTTTCTGCTTGGCTCCTCCCCTGTGCCCTGTCCTCGAGAATCTCCCCCCCTCCACCCCTCGCCCCTGCCGTGACCGACCTCTGCATCCCTCCGCACCAACCAGGTCAAAGCCGGCCGAGGGGAAGCTCATCTTCTGCTCCGGCCTGGTGCTGCATCGGCTGCAGTGTGCCCACGGCTTTGGCGACTGGATCGACAGCATTCTGGCCTTCTCTCGGTCCCTGCACGGCTTGGTGGTCGACGTCCCTGCCTTCGCCTGCCTCTCTGCGCTCGTTCTCATCACAGGTGAGTAGCCCTTGGGGAGCTGGGGAGGGCTTGAGGGCCTGGCCCTGGGCCCCCCACATTGTGTAAGTGAGGGCGCCCGAGGCAGAGAGGGGCAAGCATGTGCTCAGAGTGACAACAGCTGGTAGGCAGCAGAGCCGGGGTTCAGGCCCCGCTGCATCTGACTGCAAAGCCCCAGGCAGTCTGAATTATCCCATACTATCCAAGATGCACACCGTGTGGGTGTTGCGTGTGGCCCGGGGTTTTGGTTTGTTTTGAAAAATCTTCCTGAATTATGTCGCATGCAGGAAAGTGCACGAATGATAAATTTTCACAAACTCAGCACTCTCCTGTAGCCAGCACCTAGATCAGGACACAGGGCCCTGCCTCCTGTGCCCTTACAGTCCTCAGCATCCCCAAGGGTATCTGCTGCCCTGACCTCTGACGGCAGGTTAACTGGACCTGTTGTGTACTTTATGGAGGTATAATTAATTATTCAGGGTGGATTTTTTGGTATTAAATGCAGAGGTTTTCAGATCTCTCTCTCTCTTTTTTTTTAAATTTTTTAATGCACCAGAATCTGCCCCCATTCCCCTTTTCACTGGAATTTCACAGGGGACTTAGCCATATAGGACAAAATCCGAGGCACTTTGGGCTGAGGGAGCGGTGGGTTTTGGAATCTCTAAAACACACTGCTCTGCTCCTGGGTTTTCTCGGAACTGGCTGGGAGAAAACCTGGGGCCTAGGCAGAAAATCTGGTTAGGGAGTGAGTTCTTTTTTGTGACCTCGGGCAACTCATTTAACCTCTCTGGGCCTCAGTTTCTCACTTGGAAGATGAGGATAATGAGGATGACTGCCATGGCCACTGGACTTCGAGTGGGGGCTCGAAACCGGGCTCCTGTGTGGACTTCTGCAGAGTGCCGGGGGAGGGATGGCCAGTCGGGGGGCAGTTCTCGGGCAGGGAGCAAGTGGTGTGAGGTGCAGTCTGGGGGGGCCCCCTGGTCCTTAGACAGGTGGCTGACCCCGCCTCTCCCCCCCGCGCCCCCCAGACCGGCACGGGCTGCAGGAGCCTCGGCGGGTGGAGGAACTGCAAAATCGCATCGCCAGCTGCCTGAAGGAGCACGTCTCGGCCGTGGCGGGCGAGCCCCAGCCAGCCAGCCGCCTGTCCCGCCTGCTGGGCAAGCTGCCCGAGCTGCGGACCCTGTGCACCCAGGGCCTGCAACGCATCTTCTACCTCAAGCTGGAGGACTTGGTGCCCCCTCCACCCATCGTTGACAAGATCTTCATGGACACGCTGCCCTTCTGACCCCAGCCCGGGAACACGCGTACGCTGTGTGCGCACGCTCATTCGCCACCCCACGTGCCTTTAGCCCATGGCCCACGGACCCTCGGAGCACCCCCTCCCCGGCCTGGGCTTGAGCTGCAGACCCGCCGGCCGCCCCACTTGGGCTGGGTGGTTGGCAGGGAGCATCACCCGCCCCGGGGGAGGGGATGCATTCACGGGGGTGACCCCTACTATTTGTCTTACCCCCCCAGCCCGGCCCTGGCCTTCATGTTTTTGTAAGATAAACCGTTTTTAACACACACCGCTGTGCTGTAAATAAGCCAGATGCTGCTGTAAATACAGGAAGGAAGAGGCCGGGATGGGAGTGGGGGTTGGGAGGGAGGGGCGGCCCCCACCAGCCCAGGCAAGCCTTTCCCGCCTCCTTGCACCTGCTCTCTCTTCCCGCCCTCTTTCCACATGTACATAACCTTACTCTAGGAAGGAGACAAATGACAGATTCTGACATTTATATTTGTGTATTTTCCTGGATTTATAGTATGTGACTTTTCTGATTAATATATTTAATATATTGAATAAAAAATAGGCCTGTAGCTGAAACCGGGAGCCTGTCTGTCTCTGACACCACACGCACCTCCCCCCCCCTCCCCATGATTACTGAAGAGACAGAAGCGGCTCTGGATGAATCATGGATGTTACCAACCTGAGCTCACAGGCCTCAGTTTACTCTTCTCTAAGAGGTAGATAATCCTGACACCTGCCTTTTGGGGTTGTTACACAAAGCACTCAGACTTGTTTCCAATGTGTGGAAAGCCTCTGATAAGCCCACACCTGGTGGATGGGGTCTGTGGTAGAGGCCTGCGGGCTGAAGGATGAGAGCGCCACTCGGCTGTCACGGTTCCTCCTTGGGGCCATGGTCTCTGATTGGGCTTTCCACATCTGTAAGGGTAAGGGGCAGAGCCTGCCTCATGTTGCCACTGGGAGTCCGGGAACGTCGGTGGGGGGTGCTGAGCCTGGGGCTGGGTGCAGGGCAGCCCAGGATGGTGTTAGCTGTTAGTACAAGTTTTCTTTCCACCTGCATTTTCCACATTTCTCCCTACCTGCCTAGCACCCCAGCAATAAGATCCAGGTTGCTGGTGGCCCTTGTTCTCTTGGGAAGAAGATCGTTCGGGGTTCCTATCTGTAGTCAGGTGACCCTACGTAGGTCCTCCAACTCCCAAGCTCATCAGTTGCTTAACTGCCTTAAAATGCAGATTCCTAGGATCTATGTCAGAAACTTCGATTTGCTGAGGGGGAGGGCCTAGGAATCTGCGCTTTCACCAAGCACTCAGAGTGCTTGTGATGCCTGTGGTCTCAGTGCCAATTTTTTGAGAAACAGGAATCTAGATCAACCCCAACCTGAGGCCCCAGGTAGCTGCCAGCCATGCAGGGTCCAGCCCCCTTCACTGAGCTCAGTGTCTGTGTAGCTGCATTGAAACCTTCTCAAGGACCTGGTAGGAGACCCGAAAGCACCGCCCCTCCCACCTGTTCCTCACAACCCTTGGCCCAGGACTCTGAGCCTCCAACTTGGTGGCCCCTGACTGGATGGAAGTCATACAAAATAGGGCTTTGCTCCCAAGGACAGAATCAAGGGCCTTTCCCTGTGCTCCAGCCACAGCCTGCAGATTCCCTGAGGAGCTATCAACCACATGCCCTTGCTCAGGTTCTAGGAAGACAGTCCAGCCCCAGGCCTTCTGCAGGGTCCACATGTGGTTGGGGTGGAAAACCCTGGGCCCTGCACATGATGACCACCACTTCCAGCATGTGTCCCTGGCACCCCCCGCCCGAGCCCCTGAATGAGCTTTTGTCAAAGCACACACTTGGCAAGGTGCAGGGCAGGCGGCAGTTAGGAGATCTGCTTCTATTCTCAGCCCTGCCTCCAACTCCATGCTGCTCTCTGAGACGCTTCTCTTCCTCCCTGAGCCTCGGTTTCCCCATCCACTCACTGGGGAGGTGGGTCCAGGGGTGGTACTCTGGTTAGGAGCAGAGCTTGCTGGGAAAGCTGTGGGACTGGACTGAGTCCTCTCCCTTTGGGTCACTCTCTTCCGTACCCCCGACTTCAGCACAGATAGATGTGGAGCACAAGACAGGCCCTTTGGGAAGGCAAAAGGGCCACTTAGGGGCTTAAGTTAGAGGCAGGGGTTGGGTATGGGGTGGGCAATGGAGAGTCTTGGTCTGTGTAGATATCTAAGCCCCATAGTGATGATAATAGCTACCACATACAAGGTTCCATCACCCACTAAGTTCTTTTCATATGACATTTGTTGTTTCTAACCCTGACTACCACCCCATGAGGAAAGTGTGGTTATCCCCACCTCATGGGCCGGGAGCACAGCAGAGTAGCAAAGAGCAAGGCCTTGGAACCGGACTGCCTGGCTTTAAATCTTGGCTCCAGCTCTTTCTAGCGGTAGAATTTTGGCTAAGATATTTTTCTGTGCCTTAGCGACTTCATCTATGAATGGGGAAATAATTGTATCTATTTCATAAAGTTACTACAATGATTACATGAATGCATGTATACAAAGTGTTTCAACAGTGCCTGGTGTGAAACAAACACTCAATAAATCATAGCTATTGCTTTTACAAAAGAGGAGAAAGGAAATGACTTCCCCAAGGTCACTTGGCTTCTAAGTGGCAGAGCGGGGTGTGTCTAAATACCTAACCACTAGGTCTCCCTGCCCAGGGCCCTGTAAATGAAAGACACTCCATCATGGATGGTGGCTCCTTTCCAGTACTCTGGTGATTGGGGTACAGGGTGGGAGGCTGATTTCTCCAGCCCCGCCCTGCCCCACCCTGCCCCGCCCAAGGGCTGGAGCCTGGAGTCAGGCCCTTTTTTTTCCACTGAGCAACTGGAAGAACTGGCCTCCAAGTCTTGCTAGGAGCTGGGAGGGCGAACAAGGGGGCATTGAGCCTGGTGGGGCCTCACAATGGCTGCTCTGTCCCGGCTAGCCGGGGGCTGGGCCCGTTTCCGACGGGGACAATAGTCAAAAGGCAGTGACGCCGGCAGGGCCTGGAATCCCAGGCGGGATTTTCCAAGGCCTCAAAGCCTGCTGTTTGTCCTCACATGGAGACCCAGGAAGCCTGCCTCCCTGTCTCCCCCCTACCCCACCCACGCTGGGCCCTGTGCCCAGAGGCCCTGGCCCCCTCCCTAGCCCTGAGGTGCCATTGTGACTGGGGTTGGGGAGGCTCTGAGGTCTAGGATCTGAGTGGGTGCTCTATACCCCAGAGTTTGTGCCTGATGACCGTCGTCTGGGGCCTGGAATGGAGGAACCTGCCTCATGCCTGGGCTCTGGCCACCGGCACTTGGTTATGGGGGGAGGTGGCAAAGGTTGGCCTCAAGGAGGCTGAGGAGCTTCTGAAGGTCATGGGCAAGCACCCTGTGCTGGAGCTGTATTGTGCCACACGGTCGGCTCCGAGGGTCCAGTGTGCTGGGCGGTGTGGTAGCCTGCTCTGCGGCCGCGGAGGGAAGCCTGCGAGAGGCTGTCGGAGGCGGGAGGCCGCCTGTGGTGGCTGGACGGTCAGCAGGTGGTTAGTGATGTCCTTCTGCAACCCTGAGGCAGCTACGTGGGGCATGTCCCGGCTGAGGGCAGTGCTGGGTCCCCTGTAGGGGACAGCCAGGCCTAGGGAGTCCCAGGGAGTGTTAGCGTCAATCTGAACTAGCCCCAGTCCCCACCGAAGTCCCTGACTGCAGCGGAGACCCCAG